AAGATAATTTATTATTTCTCTCAACTTCTCTTGTGTTGTTATATTTTCATCGGTCAAATTGACATTGCTATCGAGCCAAAGTAAAGAAAATGTTTCAAAATTTTTATCATCATCTTCATCAAACAAATCATCTTCACTGCTTATTGTTGATGCATTCGATGGTGCAGTTGTGAAAGTATGCGACATAGAAGAACGGCAGGCGCCGCTGATGTTGTTTTACAATGGATTCGAGTAAAGTTTACTTCTAGAACTGTGCACGGCGCAGCTCCAAAAGTCACAACTGTATTAGAACCAAAGCCTTGATCTTGTACATAAACGTCTGATCCTCTATAGAGAGAACCAACATTAGGTGTCACTTCTTGGTCATAAAAGCGGTATTCGATTTGAAACTGTGGTCGAGCGAAGCCATTTGTTGTATTCACTGTCAATGGATAAATGCCAGGAGCGAGTGTTGGAGCTGTGAATATAATATTTGTACTTGACGCGCTTGTCACCGCGGCAGATGTTGTACCAACTAGTACTCTGAATGTGGTGCCAGTGATGGTTATTTGATTGCCTACAGCACAGAGTTCATATAGCTCTTCTCGCATTTCTTAGCTCAAACACGACTTACCACTCATGTATATAACTGCAGGATTTACTGTTGTGATTTGGGCGGCGTTCGCTACATTATAGGTAAGGAACTGGAAAGTGTTGCTGGGATACTTGAACCTGAATCTGGGACAACAACATCCACCACGCTATTGCTACTTGCTGCGGTACTTAGTACTAGACATGTGATAGTGGTGTAATTCATAACTTCTGGATTTGTGCAGATGTTATTGTCGACAAGTGCAGCAGACAAGGATGAAAAATCTGTTCCCGAAATGGTCAACGTATAACCACCGCCTGCTCCACCTCGAATCGGACTGATTGATGTGACTTGTAATGCGATTGTAGCTGTGAAAGTGTCAGAGCTCAGTGCTTGACCACTTCCAGCAACAATCACGCTAACTGGATATGTTCCGGTTGGTGCCCCTGGGATGGTACACGTTAAACGTGTAGTTGTTGCTGCTGTGACTGTGCACGAGCCTGATCCGACAAGCACCGTATTTGAACTAGCAATTGGGCTAAATCCGGTGCCATCGATTGAGAGTGTCATTAATGCTTGTGAGACACTTGAAAGTGTTGGTGTCAATGATGGCAGCCATTGAAAATCACATGTTTCCGTGCATGATGAACGGGTGCCGCCCATGAGAACTTCCACCTACACTCACTTCGTATTCTGAACTGATATTACTCTGGTTTAGAGAAGAGATAACGTACTTGTGGTACAGTGTGATATATCTGTGTCATGTCTCCGGATATCGGTTAAAATAGAAGACCACCGTCTTGGACAACTGGAATAGAGAGAAAGCAAATATTTATCGTTCTTTTGCACTATTTGCTTGTACGAAACCTGATGTTTGAACTGTTGCGCTCGAACTCAATGCGGGATTTGTGGCCTGAATCAGTGATTTATCCCCGCCATTAGATATCCACTGGATCGTGAAAATACAGCAAAGGTAACTGAGAATAGTTAGGTATGTAAAGAAAGAGTGGATAAGAACTACGCTGCGAAGGTCGTATCCCATATACAAAAGAATGAGTATAATGATGAACTTTCATGAGTCTTTCGCGATGCCACGTTCATATCCATGTAGAAATTGCAAACGTTTTCTTGCATAGTCACGCTAAAAAATGCAAAAACATAAGTGGAGTAATGCAAAAAATGGTTACAAAAGCTAAATTCTGCAAAATCTTGCATACTCTTTTAGAACAAATGATTTCCAAAATTCTGTCTTAGTTAGTTCGACTAATACTCAAAAACTTAACAACATTTTGTCACGTAATTAATTTATGTCCCAGTCAAAGTAATGTTCGTAAGCCGAAAAAAACTTCGTGACATATGTTTTGAAATATCTTCTAAGAACGAGGAAAGTGCAGAGACAATCTAAATAAGGAGACCACCCCCTTAAAGTACAGTTTGCAAAATACTTCATTCCTATAATATTGATTTGAAATGAGGTGCATGATGTGATTGGTAAATTACTCGATTCATTTGAAAATTACCGTTCGTTAACATCTGAAAATCGGATTGTATTTGAATTTGTTGCTGAACGTGATCAAATATGACTTCTTCTGCACATAATCAAATTTAACCAGAGAAAGGTTTTTGAGAAAGTGATACATGGATTTATGATGAAATAGTCGTCGCTCTGCCTTCTCGTTGCCATCTAATCGTCCTTTGTATACTAACATTCAAGTTCTTTTGTATGAGGCAATACGCAGACAGACACGATTAGTGGAGAAAGACAAATAAAACATTTCATTCTAAATCAAAAACTATAATGAAATCACGATTATAAAAATAAAAAAATTTGTTTCACATTTCTTCTTTCAGATGAGACAAAAAGTAGAAATGGACACACTACAACTTACTTCCATTTAACTCGTTAAGGTGAGCGATTTTGCATTAAACTCATAATGAATGATGTTTTCCTTCGATAGCAGAGTAGATCAACGTCTGGAGTAAAAAAAACGACCACCATTCTTTTCGTGCTGATCAACTGACCTGCCCATATCGCTAAAACCAAAAATCTTTTTTGGGTGAACCAAATAAATCACGCAAAAAAAATGCAAAAAACATAAGTGGCGTAACGCAAAAAATGGTTACACAAGCAAAATTCTGTAAAATTTTGCATACTCTTCTAGAACA